TTGCTGAGAACAACCATGGCGCCCGCGTGCTGGTGGCTGCTGCCGATCACACGCTCATCAACTTCCGCGCACCGCATGAGGACCACCCCGAGACCCTCATCATGCAAGCCTTGTTCGGCGACAGCGCGGCCGCCGTCATCGTTGGCTCTGTCAGCAGCGGCACCGGTGGGCATGCCAATGGCCACCAGATGTCAGGCGTTGAGCACCCGCTCTTCGAGATGTTGTCCGCTTCCCAGACTGTGGTGCCCAACAGCGAGGACGCCGCAGCGGGGAAACTCACCGAAGACGGCCTCGTGTTCTGCCCATCCCCTAAGATGCCGGCACTGCTGCGGCAGCCTGTAGAACAGTGCCTGGTCGACGCCGTCATCGGCATGCTCGGATCAGGTGGCAGCTCGAACTGGAATGACCTCTTCTGGGCGGTGCACCCCGGTGGGCCAGCTATCCTTGACAGCGTTGAAGCAGCGCTGGCGCTGGCGCCAGGGAAGCTGGGGGCGAGCAGGCACGTGTTGAGCGAGTACGGCAACTTGGCAGGAGGATGGGCTCCGGCGCCAGCATGACGAGCTGGAACTGGCAGGAGGCATTGGGGTCATGCTAGGGCTTGGTCCAGGGATCACCGTTGAGACAATGGTACTCCGAGCTGCAAGTGGTTTATTTTAACAAAAAGTGTTAGCTTGAACGCAACCGCAGCACAGGAAATTGGTTTGAAAGGAATTCATGGAAACAATACATAGAGAAGAGCATGGAGGCGATGGCTGTCTACTTGTGTCTCTCTCTCTCTCTCTCTCTCTCTCTCTCTCTCTCTCTCTCTCTCTCTCTCTCTCTCTCTCTCTCTGAAAAAGACACTCGAGAGAGTGCCTCATATATCATATATATATATATATATATATATATATATATATATATATATATATATATATATATATATATATATACATATACATATACATATACATATATATATATATATATATATATATATACATACACATATACATATACACATATATATATATATATATATATATATATATATATATATATCTCAAGGAAAACAATAGCTTTACCAAAGGGCAAACATGAAATGACTTCTAAGAAATAAGAGTGCATTGAAGATCCAAACAGTCATCTTCTTCCTTTGATCGTCCGTCCATTGGCTGTCGAAAATTGAAAAACATTGTGAAGAGAAAAAACGACACTGATGTGGTTTTCAGGAAATCATAAAAATGGGCTGAAAAATAGGAAAAAAAATTTATACCGGGGGAGATAACCCCACCAGACAGCCACTCAATCGTGCGTTGCAAGTGTCAAGTCACGGGATTTTTCACGCGAAAAATGCGCGCTTCGCAGCCACCAGCACTCAAACCCCTAACCTCTTGCTTTGTGTCTTCGGCCCCTAACCACTCCACCTTTGAGATGCTTGTGTCCAAATGAGATATTCATCTTAGCCATTTTATGTTCATCTGATTTTGAAATGAGTATTTGGGATCCTAAACGATTTTAAATAAAAAAGTGGTCAACTACAAAGTTTTATAACTCTTCAAGATCTACAACATTGGTTCTGGTCATTTATTCATCCGAGGTCATTTGAAGAATCTGAATTTCAAATGTGAGAAAATTCTATAGTAATTTTTGTTGGATAAATTATTTCAAATTTAAAAGTTGTCAACTGCAAAGTTGCACAGCTTTTCGAGATCTACAACTTTTGTTTTGGATGTTTCTCCATCCGAGGTCATTTGAAAAATTCAAATTTTAAATTTGAGAAATCAAACGTAATTTTCGTTAGATAAATGGTTTCAAATAAAAAAGTTGTCAACTACAAAGTTGCATAACTTTTCGAGATGTATAACTTTTGTTTTGCTTGCTTCTCCATCCAAGATTCTCAAATGCCACTATACATTTACTTATGACTATGGAACATATGCCTTTAGTTGGTATTAACTTCTATGAAATCTTGCGAATCAAATAGAGTGACATCATAACGATTTCAAATAAAAAACTTGTAAACTACAAACTTGCATAACTTTTCAACGCCTACAACTTTTGTTTGGGTCACTTCTCCATCCAAGGTTCTTAACTACAACTGCACACTCACTTATGACTATGGAGAATATGGACTCCTTTGGTATTAATTCTATAAAGTCTTGTGGTGTATATTTGGACATCCAAACGATCTTAAATCAAAAATATTTGAACTACAATGTTGTAGATCTCGTCGAGTACTACAACATTGATATAAAGTTCGTCTTCATCGGACATCAAATGAGAAAGTCATGAAAGTTTTCTTGTACTATATCACTGTCGGTTTGAAAAACCGACAGTGATGACCCAATATCAGTGTCAGTTTTAGCTACAAACTGACAGTGATGACCCAATATTAGTGTCGGTTGGTCCTATCAGTGTCGGATATGTCAAAAAACCGGCAGTGATGTGTTGAGAGGCACTATCACTGCCGGTTTCTTAAAAACCGACAGTGATGAAGTCGGCAGTGAATGTCAGATCTATAGTAGTGGTTATATTGTCTTATTTTAGTGCCAACTGTGGTCGGTCTTAAATCGGCCATTTCTGATAGTTTGTTTTGTGACATTTGCCTCTTGGTTCTGTGGTTTGTGAAGGCCATAAGTGTGTTACATTAAGAGGGGTTTCCACCATAGGCAGTGCTGTTTTTTTTAAGTGAACACCATAGCCTGTGCTGTTGCAGGTGCACTGTTGATTAGTTCCAGTCCAAATGGTGATGTTTGTCTTGCTGGCTAACCTACTGTCACAGCTGCCCACATTGGAACCATGGTTTTGGAAATGGAAGAAGACATCGGTAGCTAATTTTGTTAGGCGAGAAGGAACAGGAGGGTAGGTTGTGTTGTTGTTTGGGAGCCAAGTTATGGCTCATTGTTGTATTCCTAGATTGTGAATAGTCCTTTTTATGATCTTGGCCTTCATTGACGGTCTGCTCTCTCTTCTCCTTTTTAATATATGCCGGCTAGTATATAATGAAGCATTTTTTAGGTCTGAACTCTCCAGATCCAAATAGTGCTCCGATCATATTGTAGGGCGTGTTCGGCTGGCTTAAAGCCAGCCGGCTGGCTTGTTTTTCCTCTCACAGAATTACTATTCACGTCCTGCCAGAACAGTATTTTTCTCTCACAACAATCAGCCGGAACAGTATTTTTCAGTTCTGCCGAACAGGCCCGTAGTTAGTACTCCCATGGAGTCAGGATCTAGACACAGGTTAACCTAGATGACCGTACCTGCGGTTTGGTAAATCCGGGTAGGATTTAGAGATTTGTGAGGCCGCCCTATCCTTTAAATATGAACAGCCAAGGTGATTGAAACCATCCGGTCAGTGAAAACACAAATACATCCATTTGTTGTTACCATTCCAAGCCCGAATATTTATGTCACAAACACTAATTATTGTCCTGTCTTTGTCTCTACGGTGCCTTGAGGCACTCCAGCCGATCTTGCAAACCCTAAAATAACCCTAGCTAGTTTGTCTGTAGTGGAAACGGGTACCTCGAAGGTTGGCGATCGTTAAGTTTCATGTCAAGTCGCATATGTTTGATCTTCAGAAGTTATGTGGCCATGCAGTGCATCAGCTGTGAACTGCACTCCCTAGTGTGATAGTGCATGCCCACCTTTTATGCCAACACACTTTTTGCCAATTCTACTTTGAAAGATCATCCGTCAGCTACTATGCCCCACACAGTTTTTTTTATCATGCTGCTGACTTACTAAGACTACCATGCCGACGTGAAGGGTGGTTTGTGTAATCTCGACGAGAAGGTGTTGTTTATAGGGAATTATTGTATGATATGACATCTAGGTTGCATGCTTGCAAGCGAGACTGGCTCCTACGTGGAATATGGTTGGATATAAATAACGACAAGCCGACGTGGACTTGTGCATGGCAATATCAATCCAGGTACTACGTCAAAAATGCGTTGTTTACGATTAAATAAAGTCTAGATATTATATTTTAATTCATTAATTTTGTTTTTTTTTCATTCAGTCAGCTGTTGCTCACAAGGAGGGAAAGTTCACGTGCCCCGTCCGACGACTACCCAACGAACTGTTTGTCATCTAGTGTTGATCTTATGCCGTACGTATGTCGTTTGTACGTCCTCCCTAGTTTCATCCCCTGATGTGATTTAGTTACTGTTGCCCGACTCATAACGGCTTGTTGCTCGTCGACTGAAACAAGCAGATGTCGTTATAAACAAATCTACACTGATAACGACATGTCTCAAACTTTTATAATCCAGCCACCAAATTTATGGGGGCGGCAGCACGGTACTCTTTTTTTTTTTTGACATGCTAACATACTAATGCAGGCGGTTAAAATGATTTTGTGAAAGTAATTTTCATAGCCGGTTCGAGAAAAACCCGATGGTGAAAAACCGGAGTAGCCTGTGTCTCGTTCATTTCTCTCTCCCACCTCGTGTTTTCTCTAGCTTAATTGCATGTGCTTTCTATGGCCAGCTGACATGTGGGGTCGTCCACCAATATGTCACGATGCGAATGGACGCACGACAAGCACACATGTCGTCATGACGAGTTACTGTGGCCAGCGGTGATGTCAACTTATCACCGCCGTGTGGTTGGTTACTCAAGCCGGTGGTGTTATAAAATTATCACCACTAGTTGCAAACAGGTGGTCATAACCACCATTATCACTAATCAAGATAAAAAATGACTGTGATGAAGAATCTGTACTACTAGTGTATCATGATAAATAGATAGATAGATAGATGGATAGATAGATAGATATTCGAAGCACTAGTCGTCATCTTTGACTTCAAAACGCATGGTGGCACTCTAATCTCCTGGAGATGACTTGGAGAACAGCAGAGCCCGATTCTCAAGCAACCTCCGATGGACCGATTGATCATTCCGTCTAAACTTGACAAGTCCACGTGCAAGGTCCTATATACACAAGTAAAACCAGCAACCGCACCAAACAAGCACAACACCGGCCACCTAAGCTGCTCAAAACTAAGCGGCAGAAAATGTGGAACCCCAAACTCCTCATATTCATCTCACTCTGTATCTCGGCGCTGTCGTCGCCGTGCACGGCAGCCAGTGGCGCCGGCAAGCCCCTGGTGACCGGCGTCACCAAGGACGCGTCCACCTCCCACTACACAGCGCCGCTCAAGGACGGCCACCCGCTGGTCCTCGACCTCACCAGCCCGGTCATCTCCCTAACCACGTGTGCCTTCAAGAATGGCACCCTCGCCACGCTCTCCGCAAACGCCACCGACGGCCAGAACCCGCTGTTCCCGGTCTCCTTCTCGGCGGTTGCCACCTGCACGCCATCGTCGCCGTTGAAGCTGCCGGCCGGCGCCGTCGGCGTCACAGGCATCGCGCCCTCGACCCAGTCGTTCCCCGCGCAGGTGGCGCGCACCCAGAAGGTCGCCAACAAGATAGCGCTCTGCCTCCCCAGCGACGGCAAGTCCACGTCCGGCAACAGCGTCGGCGTGGCCATCTTTTGTGGAGGTCCCTTTGTCTTCCCGGACAGGGGCGACTTCACCACGATGCTGGCCGGCCGGCACGGCGCCGCTGAGTGGGTTCAACGGAGCCTCCGGGTACTATGTCTCCTCCACCGGCATCGCCGTGGAGCAGAGTCGCGTCGGCACCTCCGGCGGGCCACTCGTCGAGGCGCTGTTCGAGCGGTGCTACGACTCGACGAAGCTGCCGCCGACGCGATGCTGCAGGGCGGGCAGAACTGAAAGAATATGTGGTAACTATGGTTGCCTATCTTGGCTCACCATAGGCTCCATGTTTATATAGAACATGTTACAGATATAGTTGGTTTAAGTTAAGACTCCCGTGTAAATAGATTACAACTGTCCTATGTTTAAACTATCCTATCTATGGAAGTCCTAACCGAACCAGCTATGTACAACTCCAAGAATATCTCTAACACCCCATCTCAATCAAAGCTTTCAGCCACTTGCAAGATTTAGATTGTGCACAAAATCATTTAGTTTAGCAACTGGCAACGCCTTAGTAAGTCCATCAGCCAACTGGTCCTTGGTAGAAATAAGCCGGACTTGGAGTTGTCTCTTAAGAACTCTTTCTCGGACAAAATGAAAGTCAATCTCTATATGTTTAGCTCTTGCATGAAACACTGGATTTGCTGACAAATAAGTTGCACCTAAGTTGTCACACCACAGAATTGGAGCACGCCTTAATTTTATACCAAGCTCGGCCAGCAACTGTTCGAGCCATATCAATTCTGCCGTTGCATTTGCCATAGCCTTGTATTCTGCTTCAGTACTAGAACGAGAGACAGTGGGCTGTTTCCTTGCGCTCCATGATATCAGGTTAGCACCAAAAAATATAGCAAATCCTCCTCCTGTGGGCGCTTTGTCATCAACATCACTAGCCCACGCATTCGAAAAGGCACTCGGTGAAAAATAAACTACTTTACGAATGCGCAACCCCAAACTAATAGTGTACTTGATATACCGTAGTATCCTCTTTACAGCAGTCCGGTGTATTGTTGTCGGATTATGAAGAAATTGACACACTCGGTTAATAGCAAAGGACACATCAGGCGAGTAATAGTAAGATACTGTAGACCGCCCACAACACTTCTATAACGTGTACTATCTTTCGCACTTAGCGGTGTACCTTCATAACTGGACAGCTTCTCAGTAGCGGATAACGAGTCGTGCATGGCTTACAGTCAAGCATACCTACCCGTGTTAAGAGATCTTGGGCATATTTTGCTTGAGAAAGAATTATTCCTTCCTTGTCTTCTTTAACTTCAATGCCGAGAAAATAATGAAGCTTACCAAGATCCTTAAGAGCAAAGTCTTCACGAAGGTGCGCTAGAAGGGTGTGGATCGCCTCTCAGCGCATTGCTTGTAACAATGATGTCATCCACATAAATAAGCATATAGATTGTTATACCACCTTTATTATAAATAAATAAGGAGGTATCTGATTTTGAGAAGACGAAACCCAAGGAAATTAACTTGGTACTTAACCTGGAGTACCACGCACGAGGGGCCTGTTTCAATCCATAAATAGCCTTATCTAGTTTGCACACATAATTAGGAGCATCTGAACTTTCAAATCCTGGTGGTTGTTTCATATAAACTTCCTCTTCCAGAACGCCATGAAGAAACGCATTTTGTACATCTAGTTGCTTTAAGCACCAACCCCTGGAAATTGCAACAGAAAGTACCAAACGCACAGTGGCTATCTTCACCACAGGGCTGAAGGTATCTTCGTAATCAATGCCATATCGTTGCTTAAACCCTTTGGCAACTAATCGAGCTTTATACCTGTCAATGCTCCCATCAGCTTTCTTCTTAATTTTGTATACCCATTTACAATCGATTATATTCTGCCTTGACTTAGGTGGCACTAGTCGCCATGTTTTATTTTTCTTTAGTGCATCAAACTCGGTTTCCATAGCTTGCTTCCGCCGGATCACCCAACGCATCTTGAATCGTGTTGGGTTCCCCCCGTGCAATGAAGAAACCATACCGATAATGCCATCATATAGGCGCTTAGGCTTCACTATTCCGCTCTGCGATCGAGTCGATGGCGGTGCGTCGCAGCCCTTTGGTGAAGTCAACGGCGAAGAAGCAGCAGCATCAGCGGCGCCAGAAGTCGAGCCGGTAGGTGCGCCAGGAATCAAATCAGGGAAAGCAGCGGCCGCGCCAGGCGTCTCGCCCGTGGGAACAGCAGCGCCAGATGTCAGGCTTGTGGGAGCAGCGGCAGGCGATGGTACAGGTGGCGTGCATGCAGGCGGAGCCGAGTCCTCAGCCGGAGAAAATTGAGCCGTGGCCTCACCAGCCTCGGTAGCTGTGCTTGGGGAGACATCCTCTGTATCTGGTGCGCCGACAGATCCTGCACGGGAACTGGTGCCCGGATCCTCTGCACTAGGGAGCACCGAAGGTCTAGGAAACGCCTGTGCACCAGGAGCTGCAGTTGTAGTATGATCACCATGTTCTGTCTGCTGCATGCTATCATCATCAGATGCATTAGTAATGTTAGGATCATAACAATTGTCATCCCCCGGATTCCGAAGAGAGGAAGGAAGAAGTACGATTTCTTTTTGAAGGAGGGCTCCAGCATTAGGATGAAGGGTGGCAAAGGGAAAAATGTTTTCATCGAAGACCACATCGCGGGAGATATAGATGCGTCCCGTGGAAATATCCAGGCACTTAAAACCTTTGTGCATGGAACTGTAACCTAGAAAGGCGCACTGTGTGGAACGAAAAGATAACTTGCGAGAGTTATAAGGCCGAAGATTTGGCCAACATGCGCACCCAAACACACGCAGGTTGCTATAGTTAGGTTGTTCATTAAGGAGCCGAATTGCAGGAACCTCAAAATTGATAACTTTGCTAGGAAGCAAGTTAATGAGATATGTAGCAGTAAGAAAAGCTTGATCCCAAAATTTCAGGGGCATAGATGCATTTGCAAGAAGAGCAAGCCCTACTTCAACAATGTGACGATGCTTGCGTTCAGCAGCTCCATTTTGTTGGTGAGCATGAGGGCAAGAGACACGGTGACTAATGCCAATTTTCTGGAAGAAAGAATTTAATTTCTCATATTCACCACCCCAATCTGACTGGAGGGAAATAATTTTTCGAGAGAATTTGCGTTCTACCAATTGTTGAAAATCTTTAAAGACTTGGAGGACATTAGATTTTTGGCGGAGAAGATAGATCCAAGTATATTTCGAATAGTCATCAATAAAGCTCACATAGTAATTAATGGCGGCCAATGAAGTGGGAGCAGGACCCCACACATCAGAAAAGATTAATTCTAGGGAGCATTAGAAATTTTATTGGACACTTTGGATACGGAAGCTGATGGCTCTTGGCCTTTCGACACGAATCACAAATGGACTCAACACTTTTACTACTAGCATACGGTAGACTATTTGAACTAAGAATTTTTTGAACTATAGGGATAGCAGGATGACCAAGACGGCTATGCCATAAAGAGGTTGACGGCGCCTGGGCAGCAAGAGCTTCTGGATCCGGCCTCCCTTCTCCAGAAGATGCACCAGAGACAAGAGGATAAAGACCATCTTTGCATCTACCGTGAAACAGGATCTTCTTCGTGTCCTTGTCCTTGATAACAAAAAAATCAGGATGAAATTCAAGGTAGGCGTTATTGTCTTTAGCTAGCTTATGGACGGAAGCAAGACTTTTGGTTGCTGAGGGAACATGAAGGATATTTTTAAGAAAAAGATTACTGGTAGGGGTATGAACAACTGTATGACCAACATTACTAATTTGCATACCTGTGCCACTTGCGGTGTGCACTTGATCACGCCCATTATATCGATCTCGGATGAAAGTTTCTCCAATTCGCCGATCCACATGATTTGTGGCTCCACTATCAACATACCAATTTGTGTCAATGCCATAAGCTTCATTGGGTCGTCCATGGTAATCGATCATCATCTTCATAGCGGAAGTAACATTGTTTAGCTTCATGATTGTCCTTCTTACAAATCGACATGGTGTCTTCTTGTTATTCTCAGACGTTGCTCCTTTGATTATTGGGATTGTTGCTATTTTGTCTCATGCGCCCTTGATTTGATCGCCATTGCCACGGCGACCTCGAAGCGACCACGGCCTCCACGGCCTCTTGATGATAAATTCTTTGAGGATTGGAACTGACCAGCCCCTTGATACATCTCGAGCGAAGATCATATTCCATGAGAAGTGAGTACAACTCCGAGAGAGAAAGATCTCTGACCGCCCATCATAGAAGAGACAAAGGGTGATAATCAAAATCTAAACCATTAAGAATATGAGCGATAACCTCATCATCATTGATGGTGGACTTTCTTCTTGGCGAGTTCATCTTTAATGTTTTGCATCTTGTTGAAGTAAGCCGCGGTCGTAAGACTTCCCTTCTTGATGGTGGCGAGTTGCATGCGCAGGTTTGTAACCAGCGCTCTTGGTGAGCTGCAAACATAACCCCTAGAGCCTTCCATGCTTCAGCGAGAGGTCGTTGCGATCGCAATCCGGCGAGAACTTCCTTGAAACAGAGTTCACCGGATAGGAGAGGAGCTGTTGATCTTTGCTTACCCATGAGTCATGCTCTAGGTTGGGAATTTCTTGTTTCTTGTCATCAACGGTGGTCTCCATTGTTTGGCGTGGCTCAGGGACTGAACCGTCGAGGATGCCGAGTGCTTTGGCGCCTCGGACCGCCGGGAGAAATTGAGCTTTCCATAGAACAAAATTGTCCCGTGTAAGCTTTTTACGCCACGGGGTTCGAAGGAGATCGATGATCTGGAGAGGAGGAGGATGACGCCATGGAATCGTCGATCTTTCATCGCGACGTCAGCGTCGGCGCAGAGCTTCGTCATCAGGAGGAGGTCTGTCGCGGGGAGGCGGCCGCGGCGCCCGAGCGTCCGCGCCCCCCCTTGTCGCAAAGGTCTTCGTGTCATGAGGGGAGGCGTCACGATCAGCGTCGTGGCTCCCTTGTCACGAACGAGATTTGTTTTGTGGATCTAATTTGGAAGAGGCGGCTCGATTACCATGAAAGAATATGTGGTAACTATGGTTTGCCTATCTTGGCTCACCATAGGCTCCATGTTTATATAGAACATGTTACAGATATAGTTGGTTTAAGTTAAGACTCCCGTGTAAATAGATTACAACTGTCCTATGTTTAAACTATCCTATCTATGGAAGTCCTAACCGAACCAGCTATGTACAACTCCAAGAATATCTCTAACAAGAACTACTCGGTGCTCGGCGGCAACTCCATGGTGCAGGTGAACGGCAACACGGCCTGCCTCGGGTTCGTCCGGGCGGCGGCGGTGCAAGCGCCGGCGGCGGTGATCGGTGGGTTCCAGCTGGAGAACCACCTGCTGGTGCTCTACGTGGGGAAGAAGCAGCTCGGGTTCACCACGTTCCTCAACGGGATCGGGCTTTCCTAATTTCACTCTTGCTGCCTAGTGCTGAATTTTCTCGATGCTGTGTTAGCTGCGCGAGCGCCGATTGTATGAGCTATATGAAGTTTCATATAAATAAATAAATAAACAAATAAAATGGGAATAAATTTGGAGGTTTTCAGCTTCCAACAGATTGTGCCGGCCAGCTATGAGGTTGGCAGTTTGACCTTGCTATGACTCGGATAAGTTTGAATATTTAGGACACGTAAGTACTGCAAGACAGAAGATACAGCCACGTTAGGTTGCATGGGAGTACAAGTATTTTCCATTCCCATGGAGAGTCACCCTGCAGGCACTAGTCAATCCATCTAATGCTTGTTTAGCTGTATTCATATCCATATCTTAATTCATATGTATATGTATTGAGATGATTGAGGTGGAAATTAGTCAATTTTCTATCTCAATCTACTTCATGCAAAAGATACATCCACGTTAAAAGATGATGTACTGCTACTGCACAAAAAAGATGACAATTGCTATACGACATCCGGTTGTTTTTGCTCTCTCAATCAACCGGTTGTTTTTGACGTCCCAAACAACCGAATCTCTGTGGATCGCATTCCTCCGCCGCGGCGCTCTCCGGCACCGCCTGTCCTCCGCAGCCGCCGCCCAGGCCCCGTCCGCACGCCGCAGGTCTGACTCTACCACCGCCGCCACTTCCTCGTACTACTACTCCTCTGGAACAGCCGGAGGCGCTCGCCGCTGCTGCTCTCCATTAACGCCGCCGGCGCGCCCCGCGGAGGCCCGCACCCAGAGCCAGAACTCGACCAGCACCTCCTCACCGTCCTCCAAGCCACTCGCATCCGCGACGAGGAGTCTCGCCGCTCAGGTATACCTGACGGATTTTCCCGTGTTGTTGGCTTGCTGCTTTGATTGATGTTCCGATTTGGGTTAGTATACTGCTGAACTGCTGAAATTGTAATATTTTCTGAAATTTGTGAACAATTTGTCATATATTTCTCTAATATCTGCAATCCAAGAAATAATTTGTAAGTTTTTTTGTAAAAAGTTTGGGATATATTTATCTGAGATCTAGAGTAGAAGTTGTGTTATCTCTAAATTACATCACTCTGTCCAGTAAATTACACTGATAATGTAAATATATCTATAAAAATGTAAGTGTATGAACAAAATTCGATTGTTAGGAGGGCAAAAACAACCGACTATTGGGTAGACGCCTCCAAAAGGTACATCCACGTTAGTTGACTCCATACATGGAGGTACAGTTTTCCATGAAGAAAAGAAGTATTTTCCATGGAAAGAATCCGCTCCCGCAGACTCCAGTCACTCCATCTCACATGCATGTACGTACTTAATTGACAGCGGTTGAGCATTACTGCATGAGTCGCCCAAGCCGGACAGATTAACTTTTGTTTTCTTTTTCTAAAAAAAAAAGAATACACCAGCAGGAATAGATAAATAAACAACCCTTACCGTCGGCAGCCGCGGCAAGGGTTGTTTGTGTCTGGCTAGTTACCCACAAAAGCGATGACTTCTCTCCTTGTCGGTGGTCCATTTTCCCCATCAACGTCTCCTTGTCGGTGGTCAACACAAAAGCCTGAGCAGGCGGGATGGTGTGGAACAAATCACCCGTGACATTGCTAACAGCATCATCAGCTGGTGCTGCAGGTGTTGTCGTCGTCTCAACAACCCTTGGAAGGTTCAGCACGGTGCATTTGATGTCAGGGAACGCCTTGATGATCGCCTTCGCGCTGGTGTTTCCCTGTCTACCACAGCAATAGGTCAGTGAGTGAAGGCCACTGAAAACATCACTGCACTCCCGTATTATCGTCCCGATCGCCAGGTTGTCGTGTGCAGCGACTACCTTCTTCCACGATCCTGTCAAGCTCTTCGTCGAGAAGTTTTGTGCTCTCATGGACGAGGGGCACACCATGTAAATCCTCGAACGGCGACGGCAGCGGCTCGGGCAGATCCTTCTTGAACCAGTCGGCCAGAGACAAGCCGGCCTCAACATAGTGCCGGGAGACGGTTGCGAGCACGAAGTACTTCTGGTAGGTGTGGTCCTCCGATTCCACACCTTCTACCAGGAGCCAGGAGAGTGGGTTGAGGCGGTACACGGCCTCCGCTCCATCTCCATTGTTGCTGTCAGAAGCGAAGATCCCCGATGTGACCAGCAGCCGCATGATGCGACCGAGGAATGGAAGCTTGGTCTTGGGGAGGGACAACGCGGTCACCAGGTCCGGCAGCGTGGTCGAGCCCAGGCACGGAGCCAGCGGTGGGGCTAGGGGCTCCAGCCCCCCTACCGCTTCATGAGCAAGCGAAGCCCGTAGAAGCCGCCGTCTGAAATTTCAGCTGTAGATGTACAGGTAGGAGAGGCTGAGATTTGCTGAACCCATTTTCTTGCTAATTGCCGGTGTTTAGCCCCTTCTAAATTTTTTCCTAGCTTCGTCCCTGGTCGAGCCTCCAAGGTTATGTATTGCAGTTGGGATGTGGAGCTCGACGGCGCACTTGAGCGCCATGGACGTGAGGTAGTAGAGGCTGTGGCGCCATAGGTCGGCTTGCGCCTGCAGCAGCTCGGCATCGGTGGGAGCTATAGCTTGAGAAGGAGCTGCCATTCTTGGTATCTCTCGGTCACTCGCGGTGTATATCTTTCTTGCCGTTTGTGTGTGTTGGTTTGCTGCTCTAAGGTTTGTTTGCGTACTACGGTTTAAATAGCTGCTGGCTGAGCGATCCATCCAGGTACACTTGTCCTTGGTTAGGTCTTGGTGTAGGTCTAAGTAGGTAGTTGAGTGTTATCACAAAAATCAGACGCCATTAGTTTAATGATCGCGTGGGCGGAAAGTTTGACTTGTTGATTCAGTGTATCGCAGAAATCAGTAAACTATAGAGCGCGTGGATGGCGAGGTGGTGTCAGTATTAAATTTATTATTTCCAGGAATGCGAATGCTTATGTGTATCTTTTTGCACAGTAAAGAGTAAAAATTAGGGCGCATGGGGAGCTGCCACCTGCCATGCATTCCACTCCTTCCGTCTTAATTTGCAAAGTCACTTTGGCTTGTTTAGATACATACTAGTTTTTGTTATGGACTTAGGTACATACTTTGTATGGATATATACATAGAAAAATCTATGTATCTAGAAAAGTTAAAAATGGAGGGAGCAGTGTCGTAACACTTATTTACTCCCATGGCAAGAGCTTGCAGTGTGCGCGCGCGCATCCCAGCTATAAGATGCTATACACCAGTAACTAAAAGTAGCATACAAGTACACTAAGATGCTATAAGAAACGAAATTAGTATCATTTGCATGTACGATTTAACCAGTAAGATGCTATAAGAAACGAAATTAGTAACTAAAAGAGCTGCATACAAGTACACGGCACAGTATATATGCTAGTAAGAAGCTATAAGAAGAACTTTTCGTTTGCAAGTACAGATATAGATGGGTCTATGTTCAGTGTGTTCATCTTTAGAACTCTTTCGTTTGGGATGTTTGCTCTCCATGAGTTGGAGCTTTTGGGTCTTTTCAGTTTGAACGGGTATCCCCGGTATGTATGACCTCTGTTGTTGGCTTTCTTAAAAGCTGAGTAAATCTCTTTTTTTTAATAAAAGAGGAACTTCAGATAAGACAATTATCGCCTCGCCCAGCACCAGCTATACTCCCAATGACAAGAAAATTCATCATGGCTAAAAATCATGTGCAATGACAAAAAAAAACATAGACAACTAGTCCGAGGCTCCACTTTTTTTAAAAACACCAATCTCAAAGCAGCATACCTAATTAATTATTTTTTCTTATTTATTTGCCTTTTAGGACCCTCATGGGCCTGGCCTGTCCAACCTAGCCCGATTCCAGCCCTAACCTGAGCTCTTGAGATCCTCTTTGTTTGGTTCCACTCGATTTACTTGTTCAACCAGATGGCACCGACCATCGCGAGAGACCATTAGAGACACACACAGAGAGAGAGAGAGAGAGAGAGAGAGAGAGAGAGAGAGAGAGAGAGAGAGAGAGAGAGAGAGAGAGCCCAGAACATGTGAATCTCTGTGCTCCACTACAAGCCGGGGAAGAATATCAGAATTCGTATCGGTTATGGTCAGAGCTATGGATCAGCAGGTTATTGGAGGCATTCATTCTTAATTCAGCACATGCCGCGGTGATCCAGCCACCTGTGGTAGGGACGATGTATTTGCCAAGATAGATTTTGGTTCTTTATCTCATGATGTATATAATAATCACATGAGGCATGCATTTTACAAGTGACAAGGATTCCCTGAGATGTGACAATAGAAAAAAATCTAAGGCTGCTAGTGCTAGGTGCTAATTGGTCAGTTTCCCGGCCAAATTGACCAATCTTGTGGTTTAGTCAGGTTTGCCTAGCAGCATGGTTATATTTTTCCACATCCTAGGTTTTTTGTCTGTTGTTATTTCTGCCATTTAAAAATTTAGTACATAAGTTGTAATCCACGATCCTTAGCAGCCAAATAAAATAAATCTTATCGAATAGTCAACCATTTGGCCAAGACATCACGTCATTCATAGGATGCATCAACTAGCTAGTAAGCATTAATGTATCATAATCATTTGGCCAAGGCATCACGTCATTCATAGAATTACATCATTCATACCTCTAAATCGCTAAATTTAATTAGCTGACAAAAATCATTAATGTATCATAATCATTTTTACTAATCAGTTCAATAGCAGCCATGATTAACTAATTTAGTCGGCTTGATTAGATGCATGAACTAGTGAGCATGCACAAATGACTTCAGCTATTTTATTTCTAATTTAAACTAATCAGACATCAATAGTTCGTGATCGAGTTACCTGATTAATTATTCAAACAAAATGATTTTACTGTAACTATATCATTGTGCGAAGTACGTTTGGCTTTCAACACAATGTATGCAGTAACTCAAAGTTGTGAATACTGGATTGTTATGGTTAAGTAAAAAGGAAAAATACATGAGCAGTTCTTGAACTTAGTTTGAGACTACGTAAGTGACTTTCTTCTCAACATCCAA